CGCCATTGCACTCCAGCCTGGGTAACAAGAGTGAAACTCTGTCTCAAAAAAAAAAAAAAAAAAAAAAAAGAAAAAATGGACAAAATTACAGAGAGAAATGGAGAATTCTACGAACATGACTAGACATGTTAAAATTTTCTCTTTAGCAATAAATTTAAAAACTAAAGAAAATTTCAGTGAAGACCTAGAAATCCAAAAGGCATTATCAGCCACACAGTCTTAGTTGATTTATATATGTATATATAATATATATATATATATGCACATCAGTGAAAAACTACATCTTGTCTCAAGTATGAATTATACATTTACCAAGAGAAACTTTATGTCAGGCCATAAAATAATACGTTTGAAAATATTGAAATCATACAAAATATATTTTCTGACCTTATGGAAATGCATCAGGAATCGGTAACAATAAGATGATCTTGTAGACTGAATGTTTTTGTCATCCCCTAAACTCAAACATTGAAACCTAATTCCTAATGTGATATTGTTTGGAGGTGGGGCCTTTAGGAGGTGATTAAGTCACAGGGGCAGAGCCTTCTTTAATGAGATTAGTCCCCTTATAGAAGTGACTGAATAAGGCTCCTTTGCCCCTTCCACCATGTAAGGACACCAAGAAAAGACACCATCTGTGAATCAGGAAGTGCCCTTCACCACACACTCACTTGGCCAATGTCTTGATCTTGAACTTTCTGCTGTCCAGAATTGTGACACACAGATTTCTGTTGTTTATAAGACACACAGACTTGTACGTAACATATATGTTGTTATATATATATATATGTTGTTATATGTTGTAACAGAATATGTAATATATTCTCTTACAACAGTCCAAATGGACGAAGGCACACGATCATAAAAATACCAAGTATTTGGAAACTAAACATCAAAACTCTAAGTGACAATTTGGTCAAAGAAGAAATCACAAGAGAAGTCTTCTAAAGTGAAGGATAATAAAATACAGTAAATCAAAATGTATGGGATGTAGCTGAAGTAAGTACTAGAGAAAACTTGATATCCTTAAGTTCCACTATTAAAAAAGAAGAAAGGTATCAAATGAGTAACTTAGTTTCTGCCGTAAGAAACAAGGAGGAACAAATTAAATCAGAGCATGCAGAGGACGGAAGTAATAATGAAACAGAAGTCAATGAATCAGAAAGTTAAAAAAAATTAATAAATCTAAAAATTGGTTGTATGGGAAAAATCAGTAAATTTTATAAACCTCTAGGAAAATTGATCAAAGCAAAAAGACATAAACTAACAATATTAAGAATAAAAGATAGACCATCAGCGTATAGTCTTCAGATCTTGAAAGGAAATATTAATGATTTATGCCAATAAGCTTGAAAACCAGATGAACAATTGTCTTGAAAAAGAAAACTTATGAAAACTGACCCCCCCCCCAAAAAAAAGAGAATGTGGCCAGCCATATGAATTGTAGAAACTGAATTTGTAATTGAAATCCTTCCCATAGAGGAAACTTCAGGTCCAGAAGCCTTCACTGAAGAATTGTATGGAACACATAATTGAGAAATAACAGCAATTTTATAACCACCCTTTTAAAAATTAAAGGAGATAACAATGTTTAACTCAATTTATGAGGCCAGCATTACCCAGATTATTTTTTTAAAACCCAGACAACAAAATTACAACAATAAAGAACTGAGAACAAATATTTCTCTTGAACACAAACCCCAAATTCTATGCAAAAAGCTATCAAATCAAAATAAACATAAAATGAACAATATGTCCCTTTTTAATGGGAAAGTAAGTTTGGTCTAACATCTGCAAATTCAACAACACAACTCACTCAAATAATATAATAGAGAACTAAAAATTTTTTTGGAAATAGGGTCTCACTCTGTCACTGAGGTTGAGTAGACTGGCAGGATCATAGCTCACTGCAGCCTCTATTTCCCAGGCTCGTGTAATCTTCCTGGCTTGGCCTCCTCAGTAGCTGAAACTACAGGCATGTTCCATCACACCCACCTAGTTTTTTGAGTTTTTGTAGAGACTGAGTCTTGCTGTGTTTCCCAGGCTGATGTCAAACTCATGGACAAAAGGGATCCTCCTGTCTTGGCCTCCCAAATTGCTGGGATTACAGGTGTGAGCCACTGGGCTCAGCCTAAATGTTATACAATGATTACAATCTATGCAGAAAAAGCATTTTCAAAATGCAAGGTTCTTTCAGGACAAAATCTGTCAGCAAACTAAAAATAGAAAGCAATGTCCTCAGTGTTGTTAAGGGCATCCATTAAAAGCTCATACATAGCTAACACCGTATTCAATGATGAAAGGCTCAATGCTTCCTTCCTAAGATCTGTAACAATGTAAAGGTGTTTGCTCTTACTATTTTTATTTGAACATCTTATGGATGTCCTAACCAGTGATACATGGCAAGAAAATGAAATTAAAATATAGGAAATAATGGAAAAGAAAGAGTAAAATATTCTTGATTTTTACCCAGCATAGTTTTTAGCCAGCATATATAGAAAACATTGAAGAAGTCTGTAAAAGTCACTAGAATTCATACTAAATTTGCAAAATAGTTCATAAAAGAACTATTTTGGACAATTTTTTGAAAGACAAAAATTACCAAAACTAAACCAAGATGGAAAATCTGTACTATTAAAGAAAGTAAATTCATAATTACAATATCCTACAGAGAAAACTCCAGCATCAAATGGCTTCACTGGTAAATCATAGAAAACATTTAAGCAAGAGTTAATACCAGTCTTCTACAAATTCATGGAGAAAATAGGGAAGGAAGAAATATTTCTCAAATAATTTATTGAGGCCAGTAATAGCTTGACAGCTAAACCAGACAAATATTAAAATAAAATTTCACATGTCACTCATGAATTCCTAATGAAATAACAGCAAATTGGATCCAACACTATATTAATAAGATAATACTTCATGACAAAGAATGTTTTATCCCAGGATGCAACTTTGGATGAATATATGAAAATAAATCTAATTTACAATGCCAGGGAAAAAAAGAATAAACAAAAGATCATCTTCATGCAGAAAAAGCATTTTAAAATGTAACACTTGAAGGCCGGGTGTGGTGGCTCATGCCTGTAATCCCAGCACTTCGGGAGGCCGAGGTGGGAAGATCAGGATGTCAGATTAGCGCATCCTGGCTAATGCGGTGAAACCCTATCTCTACTAAAAACACAAAAAATTAGCCAGGTGTGGTGGCATGGGCCAGCTACTTGGGAGGCTGAGGCAGGAGAATCACCTGAACCTGGGAGGTAGAGGTTGCAGTGAGCCAAGATCACACCATTGCACTCCAGCCTGGGTGACAGAGCGAGACTCCATCTCAAAAGTAAAAATAAATAAATAAATAAATAAGCAACACTTGGGTACTTGAGCCAAGATGACCAACTAAACACAGCCAGGAGGAACTTCTGCCTCCAAGAGACTGGGACATCAGGACAACCGGCACACTCTAAGCAGATCTTCAGAGGAAAGGTTTTAAGAGTGGATGAAGGGGCCCAGTGCAGTGGCTCACACCTGTCGTCCCAGCATTTTAGGAGACCAACACAGGTGGATTACCTGAGGTCAGGAGTTCGAGACCAGCATGGCCAACACAGTGAAACCCCATCTCTTCTAAAAATACAGAAAAATTAGCTGAGTGTGGTGGTGGGCTCCTGTAATCCCAGCTACTCGGGAGGCTGAGGCAGGAGAATTGCTTGAACCCGGGAGGCAGAGGTTGCAGTGAGCTGAGATCAAGACATTTCACTCCAGCCTGGGTGACAAGAGTGGAAACTCCGTGGAAAAACAAAACAAAACAAAACAAAAAAAGTGGACGAAGGGAGGATGAAGATGCTAAGCTGAAGGGTTAACTGGCAACCCTGTACAGGGCTACTGAGCACCAGGACTTGTTCCTGTCCGCAGCAACTCCTGGGAAATGTGTAAGTTGAGCAGGTGAGAAGTGGCCCACTCTCACCATGAACCTCTGGCATCCTGGCAGCAAAAGACCATCACCCCCACAGACAGTTGAGCTGGCAGGGAGGGCTGTTGAGAGAGGTGGTAGGAGCAGGACGCCAGCCTGTGCAGATCCCAGAGTGTTTGCTTCAGGAAAGTCTGCAGTGGAGCCTGACTAGGCACGTCCATCTCCCAAGGCTTGCTCAGCTCCTCTAGGAGACTTTAGCGTCAGGCTACTGTCGGAACTGGGCAGAGCAGGGTGGTCTTGCCCATGAGGTGGGACCAGTCTGATCTGATCACCCTCGCTGTCTGCTGGCCTCTCCCAGCCTTAGCCTGGCTATGCCCACTTGCAGTGCAGCCTGGAATGCCCAACCAGGGTGCTTCCTGGGCGCTTTATCATAGTTCCTTCACTAGCAGACCATGCCTGACCCTCCGAGAGCTCCAGCAAACCGGCCCCCGCCAACGCACAACAGCTCACGTGCGTCCTCCCCACACCGCAGCCACCCCTGTGCTGCTTTGCTGCATACATTTTCCCATGGCCACCCGCTACCACTTTGCTGGTCTGCATGCGTGGGCGGACCCTGCGTGGTGGCTGACAACTCTGCTCTTCCGCTCTCCCCCGACCTCAGACACTATCTCTGCAGTGTGAACGCGCACACAGACACCGGCAGCTTCGCCCGGTCCGTGCAGCCACCACAGCCTGGGTGAACGTGTGCACAGATGCCGACAGTCCTGCAGCAGCCAGCGCCCTGACTCTGCTGCCGCAGCCGCCTGCGCGAGCTCCAGCACTGACACCAGCAGCTCCGCCCCCGCCACGCCACCACCACCGCTGGCGCGAGCATTGCACAGGAAAACCACAGCCGCACCCTCGGCTGTACCTCCAGCCGATGCGCCTGCACCCAGCTGTCCTGCCTCAGCAGCTGGCGTGTACCCCTGAAACTAAAATAAAAGGCATAAATAAATAACATTAAAAAATTTTAAGTATCAAATGAAGATGCCAAAAGTAAAGTGCAACAAAAAACCTGACAAATGGGACCACCTAATTAAAGAGTTTCCGCACAAAGACTAGTTTAGGGATCATTTCTATAGTTCATTCTAGAGAAGTTTATCTGAATACGTAGAGCTCCGGAACCCACGAGGAAGAGGCGCAGTGTTCTCTCCTGAGCGTGAAGCTGACTTTTGGTGTTGCTTCCGTGCAACCGCCACCTGTCGTTGATGATCTGTTCTCCCTTCCTCTTTGGAGAGTAAGAGGGAGGGGACGCTGTCTGAGTAGAAAAAAAAAAGAAGAAGAAAAAAAAGAGTTTCTGCACAGCAAAATAAACTATCAACAGAATAAACAGACAACCTACAGAAGGGGAGAAAATATTTACAAACTATGCATCCAACAAAGGTCTAATATCCAGAATCTATAAGGAACTCAAACAAATTAACAACAGAAAACAAGCATTACCATTAAAAAATAGGCAAAGGACATGAACATTTTTCGGAAGAAGAGTGTTGATATACACACAGTCAACAAGCATATGAAAAAATGCTCAACATCACTAATCACTAAAGAAATATGAATCCAAACCACAGTGAGACACCATCTCACACCAGTTAGAATGGCTATTACTACAAAGTCAAAAAATTACAGATGCCAGTGAGATTGCAGAGAAAAGGGAACGTTTATACATTTCCGGTTGGAAGGTAAATTAGGTTTAGCCATTATGGAAAGTAGTTTGGCAATTTTTCAAAGAACTTAAAACCAACTACTATTTGACCCAACAATCCCATCATTGAGTATATTCACAAAGGAATATAAGTCATTCTACTGTAAGGACACATGCACGTGTATGTTAACTGCAGCAGTATTCACAACAGCAAAGACCTGGAATCAATGTAAATGCCCATCAATGAAAGACAGGGCTCTGGCAGGTTGGGGCACCTTAGAGCCAGCCTTCCTGACAATGCCATCTGTCCCAGATGCTTGTTGGAAGCCATATCACCCAGATTAGTTTTCTATTGATGAAAATTTAAAAAATAATAAAATACATAATTTTATGCTTTTTGAAAATACCTAATAAACCTTTCTGGCTAAGTTGTTAGTAATGGTAATGTCTCTAATGTGCTTGAAGATGGCCAGATCTTCAGGGTTCCCACCTTCACCAGATAGCTGTGCTTCCCTGCTTGTTCTATTTTCTTTCTTTTTTTTTTTTTCAAGAGAATTAAATCATTTATTGATTACACATGATAATGGATGATACACAAGCTTCATTCCCATCTATAATTTTATCTGGTACCATTATTCAATTTAGATATATTGCATAGGATGTGCCAACAATCATTTTTACGACCAGTAATTCCATGATTTTGCTTAGGTAATCCCTTTTAATGGTGAACTTCAGGTCACAAAAGTAACTATTAGTTCGACTACACCAAGGTTTCTGAAGACAATGGCTTCTCCACCCAAGCAGGTTATATATAAATTCCAAATAGAACCTGGCATCACCCTGAAGGAATTCTAACTTCACACTGTTGGGGAAATTTTCCAAGATGGCTTCAGAGTAGACTAACTTTACACAGTACTTTTAAAAAAAGACATTTGTTCAGCCTCATGATCAGACTATTACATTTAGCAATCAACAGCATGGGTGCAAAAAAACAAAAAAAGAAAAAAAATCTGCATTAAAACCATTTGTTGGAATGCTTTACACTTTCCATGGAACAGAAACTAAAATAACCTGTTATACAACTAGTCACAAATACAGTCCTTGAGTTTTATGCCCATACACATAAGTATTTGTCTAAATCATGTCTTCTTTGTAGCAGCTAGGCCCTGCCACCACTGTGCTTGGCTGAGTTCACAAATCTGTTGTATCCTGTAGCTTCCCTGTCACTTCTCTGGCTCTCCTCTCTTGCTAAGCTTTGTTTCCTAATTAAAATCTTCCACCACTGCCATAGCTACTGCTACTACTGTAACCGCCATAGCCAACTTGGTTTCGTGGTTTGGCAAAGTATTGGCCACCACCACTATAGGGGCCAGAGCTTCTGTCTCCAAAGTTTCCTCCCTTCACGGGTCCAAAATTTGAAGGCTGATTGTTGTAACTGCCAAAATCATTGTAGCTTCCACCACCTCCAAAGTTGCCTCCATCATTACCAAATCCATTATAGCCGTCCCCACTGCCACCATATCCACCACCACCATGGCTGCCACCAAAGCCACCATGACCACTGAAGTTTCCTCCACGACCAAAGTTGTCATTCCTACTGAACCACCTCCAGGACCACCATCAAAGTTTCCAGAACCACTTCGACTGCTTTGGCTGGATGAAGCACTAGCCATCTCTTGCTTTGACAGGGCTTTCCTAACTTCACAGTTGTGTCCATTCACAGTATGGTTTTTCTGAATGACAATCTTATCCACGGAGTCATGGTCATCAAAGGTTACAAAGGAGAAGCCCCTTTTCTTGCCACTGCCTCTGTCAATCATGATTTTAATCATTTCAATTTTTCCATACTGTTCAAAATAATCTCTTAGGTGATGTTTTTCAGTGTCTTCTTTAATGCTACCCACAAATATTTTTTTTTTATTGCATTTTATGTTTTGGGTTACATGTGAAGAACATGCAAGATAGTTGCATAGGTACGCACATGGCAGCATGATTTGCTACCTTCCTCACCTTCACCTATATCTGGCATTTCTCCCCATGCTATCTCTCCGCAACTCCCCACCCCTCACTGTCCCTCCCCTATTTCCCCCCAACAGCACCCACAAATATTTTTTTCACAGTTAAGTGGGCACCTGGTCTTTGAGAATCTTCTCTTGAGACAGCTTTCTTTGGTTCCACAACTCTTTCATCCACCTTGTGTGGCCTTGCATTCATGGCTGCATCCACCTGCTCCACAGTGGCATATGTGACAAACCCAAAGCCCCTGGAGTGCTTGGTGTTTGGATCTATTACCACATAGACTGTGAGCGTTCCCCATTGCTCAAAATGGTTCCTCAGGCTCTCATCGGTTGTTTCAAAGCTCAACTCTCCAATGAAGAGCTTCCTTGGCTGTTCCAGCTCTTTAGGAGACTCTGACTTAGACATGATCACAGGGAGAAGAGAGACTTTAACGATGCTTCTTTGGCGGCGTCCACAGGCAGAAAGTCGCTTGTTCCATTTTCAAGTGTCTTTGCCTGTCGGTTGCCCCTATGACTGCTGACATCAGGCCTTCTGGTAGAAACCACACTTTTTCTTGCCCATTGAGGGTTGGAAAATTGGATAACTAAGCTCGATGAAGGTAGAAGATAACATTTGTTCTGCATGGGCACTGTCATCACCTGCACTTGAAGGCAAGGCTGAGGTGCAGAAGGCACAAAATGTGGCCATGACCCTTGGCGATCAAGAGGCCTAGTGGCAATGTGAGCCTGAGTGGATGACACTGTGACATGGGACAGGGTGGATTTAAGGGTCCCTTCCTAGCTCAGGGATTGACTGCAGGGCCAAGGAGAACCATAGCTGAGAGGAACATGGAGATGTGCTGGGGTGGGGCCGGGCGAGGGCCTGGAGAAAGCCTCCATCTGCTCTCACAGGGCCTAGGAGAGACAGACTGAGGAGGGGATACCTGCCCCTCCATTGTGCCTCACCATTGTCACCCAGCCACACTGGCATCCCTAGTGTTCCCCAGGCATTTTTCATGTGTCTCCTCCTTAACCTTCAGAACCTCTCTGTGAAGTCAGTATTGGGTTTGCATTTCTGGAGTTGAGGGAAGACTTTGGGCCTGGGAGACTTCATAGGGAGGGTCCTTACTCTATGGCTAACACCACACCTCACTCTATGGCTAACACCACTCTATGGCTAACATCCCAGCAGTTTGGACTTCTGAGCCCAGAGTGTTCTGAGCTCTGACTTGCCCTGGGCTGGCGGTCCCCTGTGGCAGCTGCTCTGAGGCAGTCATGTGCCTGCTGGTCCTACAGGATTCCCCACCTCAAACCAGCAGCAGATCAGGATTTCCCAAATTGTCTCTAGCCCTGATTGGTGATTCTTCATTGCTTTTGCAACCCTGAAAGGGCTCCAAACACATTATTGGAAACAATAATTGCAGCTACCACTTCTGCGGTGGCTGTTGCTATGTGCCAGGCAATTTTTTGGGTACTTGGCATATGTGAACCCACCCATTTACAAAGGAAGCCCCTGAAGCACAGAGAGGTTAAATGACTTGGTCAAGAGAGAGGACTGGAGGTGGGAAGAAACTGGGGGTGCTACTTACACAAGGTATACATGGTCTTGGCAGGAAGCTGGAGCCTGTGGCCACCCAATGGTGGATTTGTGCATGAGCCAGGGACAGGTTTCTAATGTGCCAGATGAGGTAAATAGATGATGCACCTGTGTCTTCAGTCTTGTCCTCCCTGTCTTTGTCATCTCCTGAGGATGGAACATCTGTGATGTGCACACTGAAGTGGCACTGCTCATACTTGTGAGTCTCTGCAGCTGTAGACCCCCAGGGTCCCCTTGAGAGGCAGTCAGCACCTGCAGCTGCGGGGGCTCCACCAGGATGCATTTTGAGGACACCAGCTCTTCACCGCCCTTGACGCAGACAGCGTGCCCCATGGGACCACCTCCAGGCAGGGAGCAACTCAGCCCTGCAGAGTCCCGGATGCCAGAGAACAACTGCTCCTGCTGGTTGTGAGATCTCAGCGGGAGGCTGCCGCAGGCCTTGAGTGAGGGAGGATCAGCTCCCAGAGCCTGGGATCCTGCCAGACAACACTCAGAACTGGGGCTGGCAAATAGTCCCCAAAAGGACCAGGGTCAACATTTTCAACTTTGCCAACCAGTCTCTGTCCCAAAGACTTAACTCTGCCTTGTAACATGAAAGCAGCCTTCCATAGACATCCTGCTGGTCCCCCCAGACAGGCTGCTCCCAGTCAGTCTCAGGAAATTCGAGGTAGTGCCTGAATGGCCACAGCTATGCAAAGCACTAGGGTGCAAGCCTGTTTGTGGCAGGGACTGGGTCTGCAGTTTCTCAGGCAGCATGCACAGGTGTGCTGCTCTCCACAGCTCAGCTTGGCACTAGCAGGAAGAGAGTGCCCCTTAGAAACCTGGAGGCCACTGGAGCCCGACTCATTGTGTGCGACTCCCAAATGGGCTTGGTGCCCATAAACCTAGTACCCTTATGGGCTGCTGACCCACCAGTGTGTAGTGCACCTGAGCTGAGCCAGCTGTCCTTGGCCTCAGAACATGCCTGGCCCAGCTTGCTGGGACACAGGGACACTGGAACAGAATTTTAAGAATGAGTTTTCTGAATT